GGCGACGGCTGTGGCTCCTCCTCCTCGAGGCGGGACCCTGGCTCCTGGCCGTGGCTCTGCCCTCTTCCCGCTGCGCTGACCCAGCCGGTTCTGTGCTTACTCTGTGTGCGGGCGGGTTACTGGGTGTGAATCGAAGGGTAGTTTCCCGACACCCGGCCCTTGGGCGGGTCTGCGTTTTCAGAGGTGTGTCCGGGCTGTGACCGCGTCTCTGACTCCCAGCTGTGTGCTGGGGACTGAGGGCCCCGGGGCACACCGCACACTTGGCGGTGCAGGTGTGACCGCTGCTGTCACCGCAGCAGCCTGCTCGGAAGGAAAGGAAGGGGGAAGGGTTGGCTGCACCGTGGTTCCCGGGCTGTAAACTAAGGTACCCGCCGGTGGTTTGTTTCATAGCACAGATTTGTTTGCCTGGAAAATGGGGTTTCGGGCCTAGGTCAGAGGACTGGCCAGTTTCTCTGGGAACAGGCCTCAGCCACGTGTCAGTGTGGCCGTTAGGTCACAGGAAGCACTAGGCAAGTCTGAAGAACTTCAGGTGGGGGTCGTCGGGGACCCATAGGCCAGTGGGGTGCTGGGGGTGGGAGGGTCGTGGGGCTGCCCTGCATGAGACCCTGTGCTGCCCCCAGGCAAGAGAAATGGGCTCCCAGGACCCAGACAGGGCGTGGCCTGCAGAGCTGGGTCCACCTTTACGTAGTTGCAAGGCCGCGAGTGGGAACTCCAGCACAGACCCATCCGGCTGATAAGGAAATAAGAGGCCCACTGGGCCCCCAGAGAGGAGTCTGAAAGCGCTGTTATGGATGGTGTGTGTCTGCGCGGCACCCCAGGGTGTGAGGCTGGAGGGGGAGCACACCCACCCTCAGCTCTGAGCCCCGCAAAGACCTGCTCGAAGGAAGGATGGAGCAGTGGCTGGTCCTTCCTCGTGGCTTCTCAGCCCGGGGACCCTCCCCACTCAGAAACTGGGGCTGCAGCTCGCGGCCGAGGTCCCAGCGTTGGGAGCAGGAGCGGCTGTGAGCGCGAAGCCCTGGGGGGATTGGGTGAGGATGGGCAGGAGGTGCCTGGTCCCACGTGGCTCCTTGGGGGATGTGGCCGTGTTTGGGGCAGCACCAACCCCATGTCCTTAGGCATGCACAGCCTCGTGGCATCCAGCAGTGTTGGCTCTGGTGCTGGTTTTTCTGGCGAATTGGAAGAGCTGATTGAACTGTGTATTTGTTATTTGTGTGAAGAAACTTTACTGTTTTATTTTACCAGCTGCGTTGATGCACAGCTGCACTGTGTAAAGTGTGCAGTTGGGTACCTGCTTCCCCAGCCTCCCTCACACAGCCAGGAGAGCAGAGGGCACTTACGCCAGGTTTCCTTCTGCGCCTCCTAACTCGCCCCCCGTAACATCTGCCGCCAGCGGGTTCTCTCTCAGCCCTCCCCTTGCAGGCCTGCCCCGCATCAGTCTCCCTTCCTGTCCCTGCAAGCTGCCCCTGCCTGCTTGTCCTGCTCTTGTGGCTGGCAGCCGGGTGTCCTGGTTGGTGGCATAGCAACTGTGTGACTTTCCTGTCCGGCGATTCCCCTCCTGTGTGGGGCCTTTCCATGTATGAGAAACCCAACACTTTCACAGTCAGTCTTTATCTTCCCTGGCAGTGGGTCTGTTCAGATCTTTTGCTGGTTTTTCGTTGGATTGTTTATTTTTCATTCTTGAGTTGCGAGAGTTCATGTATAGTGGATGTGAGTTTTTGTCACCAGTCCTAATCTCTGTCTTTGGAGCAGTGTGCGGTCTGCATGGTCAGGCCCCATTTATCCGTTGCTCCTGTGTGGACCGTGCTTCGCTGTCCTGCTGGAGAAGGCGTTGGGATTAGCCAGGACCTCAAGCCCGTCCACACCCTGTAGGGTTAGATGCTGGCGCCCCACACGGGCCTTGGCTTGTGGCCTCTGGCTGCTCCTGCAGTGTGTTTGGAAAGCCACCCTTCCTCTCTGGAATTGGCCCTGGCCCTCTGCCGCGCTCAGGGCCCAGGGATGGGCCCGATCTCCTGGCCCCAAGCAGGGCGCCTATCCTTGGGCCAGGATCCGGCTTCCTGATGACCGTAGTAGCTGTGTGGTCTGCGGGGAGAGCCCTCCAGGAGCAGCTCCCGGCTCCCTCCCCAGTGGTGAGCATTCCTCTCCACTTTACACTAAGCACTGTGGCACATCGTTGGTTTACACAGCAGTGACCTTTTGAATAGACAGTGACCACACAGGTCCCGTGCATCAGCCGGTGTCCCCTCTCCTCTAGCTCCTCCTCGCCTGCTTGGTCCCTTGTCCGTGGCCGCATTTCCTGTAGTGCCGGGCACCTCGTGATGGAGCTGCTCAGCTTTTTAGTATCCGTGAGGTCCTTATTTTACCTTCACTCGTGAAAGGTATTTTGCTGGATACAGAATTCTAGCATGACAGTTTTTAATTTCAGTACTGGAAGTGCATTGCTTCCCCGAGTCCTCACGCGAAATGTTTCCAGTGAGAAGTTCCCAGTGGCGTCCTTGTCTCTATTTCTCTGGACAGGACTTGCCTTTTTTCTTTTGGCTGCTTTTGAGATACTGTGTTTTGCAGTTTGATCACGCCATGGCTGGAGGGGTGCATGTGCTCAGGGTTCGTGGAGCTTCTAGGATCTGTGTGTGCGGGGTTTGCATCAAACTTGGAAGTTTCCTGGTCGTCATTTCCTCCAGGGCTGCTTCTGCCCCACCCACTTCCCAAGGCCCCAGTTCCGCGGGCGCCACGCGGCTGAAGCTGCTCCATGCTCGCTGACGTGCTTTCTTTGTGAGTTATTCTCACTCTGGGTCCCGGCAGGGGCTCTGTGCTCTGTCTCCGGGCTTGCGGCTCTCTCCCCTACGCTGACCCCACTGCGCTTCCATCAGCCCTTGTGGTTACCAGCTCTGAGTGTCCTGCTTGGGTTTTCTCAGTATTTTCTGAAATACGTCTCTTCTCAACATACCAGCTGCTTTGACTTCCTCGTTTGCTGGTCTAACTTCTGTGTCTGTTCTGGGTTTGACTGGGCTGGTTTTGCTCTTCATTGTGAGTCCAGTTTCTTGGATCTTTGTGTGTTTGGTCACCTTACGTTGGACATCAGACGTGAAATTACCTCATGGGGAATTTGTATTCGTGGAACTGTCTCCAGCCTTGCTCTGGGTTCGGCGAAGCTGCTTGGAAACGATCCAGTTATTTTGGGTTTTGCTTTCCAGGTTTGTGAGGTGGTCCGAGGAGGTCTAGCCTGAGGCTGGCCAGCCCTCCTGTTTGGGGCCAGTGCTGAGTCTCAGGTGTCCCCCAGAGGTCCAGGGCAAACGCACAGCTCTCCAGAGCCCCTTTCCTGCCCCATACTGCTGCGAAATTCCCAGGGCCTCCCCTCCTCGTGGCCCCTTGGAGCAGTGAGTGGTGGTCACAGGCCCCTGGCTGGTTTCCCTCCTGGGGACAGCCCTCCGTTGCTGGTGTCCGGTTCTTGGAAACTGTTCTTTCACATATTTTGACTGTCTTACTCTTTGGTTCTTTCAGGTGTGGGGTGAACTCTGTGGTCCCTCTTGCCCCAGCTGTGCTGGGACACCCCCCATCAGATTTGTAGGCCTGTCACAATGTGACAGGTGGACCTCAGAGAGGCTGGGAGGTGGCACGGCCCACTATGGGAGGGCTAGGGGCCTAGGGGGTTCTCAGGACAGATTTCTGACGATAAAGACACAGACCCTTCTGATGGAAGGAAGAGGAAAGAGGGCCCTAAGGAGACTGTTTGGCACAAAAGCTCACAGATGTGTGGAGGGTGGAGACGAGGGTGGGGAGCTTCTGAGAGTAATACTCGGGGAGGGGCCAGACAGGGGCCGGCTTCTCAGGGATCTTGAGTGTGACCAAGGCGTCTGCATTCCTTTGGGAAGGAGAGAGGGGGGGGGGCACGAGACCACTTAGCTCCTACTTCACTTTTCTTTCCCGAAGTTCATGGGGCTGGAGGGGAGAGTGGACGCGGGGGTGGAGGTGGGGCGCAGGGTGTCCGCATAGTGGGTGGGCGGGCCTGGCCTCCTGCTGGCATGCATCCCTCTGGCTGGTTGTACCTGAGGAAGGAGGGAGAAGGGGAGCTGGAGGCTCATGAGGAGGGGCCGGAGGCTGCTCATCCTGGTGGCCTGGCCGGGGTGTGCGGGGCTCTCCTGTCATTCAGCTGTGTCCCCAGCAGCATAGGCCGAGCGTGCCTGCTGCTGTGATTACAGCCGTTGCTTCCAGGCGGGGCCGGGTGTTTTCTCCTTTCCCTGTTTACTTCTCAGTTTAATTTTATGTAAGTTGTTCTTTACTTTCCTGTCCTTTGCACGTTCAGTGTTTTCAAAATTGCAGTGTACTGTAACTTAGTGTGATGGTTTTACAGTCATGTGTATGGTCTGTGTGTGACAAACCATGTATTGTTCAAATGGCACAGCTATTTTCCCCATTTCTCTTCGCTTCATTAGTGATTTTTATTTGATAGAGGCCCTGATGAAATAAAACTTTAATTTCATCAGGGTTATCTGTTCAAATCTTCTACAAGTATAATCCTGTCCTGCAGTTATAACTCTGCTCCAGAGTGAACGTGGTTCTAAAACTAAGTAAAGCGCCCTAGACGCTACATTAGTGACATGCTGTATTCAGGGTGGTCTGATTCTGGCTGACTTTTTCTTCTACTTGTGACATATTCTGTACTGTGACAATGTCACTTTTATAATGAAAACAAGATAAAACAACAGTCTTGGTGCCGCATGTGCCCTGGCCTCACGCGCCCACTGTCTTTTGCGCAGGAGGAGAACATCTGCCTGCACTGGGCGGCCTTCTCGGGCTGCGTGGACATCGCCGAGATCCTACTGGCCGCCAGGTGTGACCTCCATGCCGTGAACATCCACGGTGACTCGCCACTGCACATCGCTGCCCGGGAGGACCGCTACGCCTGCGTCGTGTGAGTGTCTGCGGGGCCCTGGGGAGGTCAGCATGGCTCGAGGAGGATCCTTATGGAAATCCCCAAATCCCTAGGTCGACCGTGGCGGGCCCCCACTTGGGGCCGGAGGAGTGGTGCCCACGGGAGGGCCGGAGGGGCTTGCAGAGCTGTTCCGGGTCCCCTTCGTCCATGAGCGCCACCCAAGTCGCTCTTGTGTCTGCTGGGCACTAACCGAGCACGTGGCCGACTGGGCGAGGTTTACCTCCACCATCTCTGCCCATTCATCTTGAGCGTGCCTCTGAATGGGAAAACTGAGAAAAGTCAAATACCGGCCTAGTTCTTATGTGCTCTTTCTGCCAAGGGGCAGGTGACTTGACAGTAAGTGTTGGGGAGCAGGGTGAGGTGAGCTCTTGGTCCAGCACAGACTGGTCCTTCTGAAGCCAGGGCACCTCCCTTGCTCTCCCTGACCGTAGTTGCCGTGTGCATCTCCCTCGCTTCTTCACTTGCGGGTCTGATCATGGTGTTGATACGTTGTTCTTCAGCCTCTTCCTTTCGCGAGACTCCGACGTCACCCTGAAGAACAAGGAGGGGGAGACGCCACTGCAGTGCGCCAGCCTCCACTCGCAGGTGTGGAGCGCCCTGCAGATGAGCCAGGCACTCCGTGACGCTGCCCCCGACCGGCCTGCCCCGGTGGAGAAGATGGTGAGCAGGTGAGCCTGAGCCCGAGGCCGGGTCCACGGCGAAGCCCCGGGCCACAGGGTTCAGCCCAAATCTCCGGGCCGGGCCTGGCTTGGGGCAGCACTGGTACAGGAGGGTGACTCCCACTTCCCACTCAGAGACATCGCTCGGGGTTACGAGCGAATCCCTATCCCATGTGTCAACGCCGTGGACAGCGAGCCGTGCCCCAGCAACTACAAGTACGTGTCTCAGAACTGCGTGACGTCCCCCATGAATATCGACAGGAACATCACCCACCTTCAGGTCAGCGGGGGTCCCAGGGAGGCCCGTCGCAGGACTGCGCTGTGGGGCTGGGGAGGCTAACAGAGCTTCCAGGGAACGGGTCCTGTGTCCTGTGCCGTGAGCCCCCAGGGCTGGCCCGGCTGCCTTTCCCTCCTGGCTGTTGGCCCAGGTGCCCCGGGTCCCCTCCCTCCCAGGCCGCGGCCTGGTGCCTGAGCGCTTTCTCCTGCCCGCACTCCCCCTTCCTAGGGGCTGCACCCCAGGTGTCCTTGAGAATTGGGGCGGGGGGTTGTGCAGCTCTGTTCAGAAAGCACACGTCAGACTCCGGTGCGGCGTGGAGAGCTGGAGCAGAACTGCCGCGCCCCTGACGCCTGCCCGCCCGCCCCCCAGTACTGCGTGTGCATCGACGACTGCTCCTCCAGCAACTGCATGTGCGGCCAGCTCAGCATGCGCTGCTGGTACGGCAAGGTGAGCCCGCCGGGCCTGCCCTGCCCGGCCCCGGGGTGGGAAGCTCGAGGCCCCTGGCTGGGCAGGGCCCAGGTGTCCTGGCTACAGGGGAGACATAGGCCCCAGGTGGAGTCTCCAGAGTTGACACTGGGACGTGGGTGGCAGCAGAGTGTGTTGTCTGAGCAGGAGGCTGAGGGTGTCATGGGCGGGGTTCACATGTCTACCTGTGCTCTCCGCGGAGGGGCAGGTTCTTACTGTTCAGAGTAGCCTCTGAAGCTGCTGGGGCCTCAGTCTCGGCCTGTACAGCCTGGGCACTGCCCTATGGCTTTGATGCGTCCAGGTTGTAGGACAGAAAGATAGGTGCCTAATGCCCCCAGAGCTAGGGGTTTGCAGGCAGCAGGGCTGAGGGTGCAGAGTGGCAGTGGGTGTGGACAGATGGTCCAGCCTGGAGGCTGCAGGACAGGAGTCCAGGGCTGCTGGCCAGTGAAGGAAGTGGAAGATCCCCGCAGCTGGCAGCCTCGATGAGGCTGAGAGGATGAGGGGAGGCAGAGAGGCTGATTGGGGGGAACAGAGACTGGCCACAGTCGGGGGCCAGGGAGAGCTGTCCAAGAGGTTTCAAGCGCTGCGTAGAGCTCTGGTGGGAGCCTCCCAGTGGACTTGGACAGAGCTCCTATCACCCTAGGTGTAGAGTTGACCAGGAGCCGTGGTTTCCGGGCCAGGGCTTTGGTCTGCAGAAGTGCATTGGTGTTTGTTCAGCGAGGGTGCTGAGCGCCGGGCCTCACTGCGTGTGTCCCCAGGACGGCCGGCTGCTGCCCGAGTTCAACATGGCCGAGCCACCCCTGCTCTTTGAGTGCAACCACGCCTGCTCCTGCTGGAGGACCTGCCGGAACCGCGTAGTGCAGAACGGCCTC